TCCTCCTCCTCCTCCTCCTCCTCCTCCTCCTCCTCCTCCTCCTCCTCCTCCTTCCCCCCCCACTGGACATTTGCACAGGCTACCGGAGAGCCAACCACCAACAGACAGGAACTGCTGAACGCATAGCATTGCTTCTTCTCCGCTCAGCCTCCGGTTGGGCGAAGACCCAAAAATAATAGATCTCCACCAAAGCCAACCAAACATCTTGTGTTCCGTGTTTCAGCCATCCGGTTCAAAGGCCAGCAGGAAGAGGGGAAGTTTTTTCCAGCAAGAATGGGGAATTTTTTTCCTCTATCCGGCCAGGCCTGAATGGGACGATTCGAATTTAAGGCCAGCTGTCATGGCGTGCTCTCCTCCCGTGGCTGCAGGATTCGGTTTCCCACATCCTTGGAGAAAATTTGGCTCAGGAGATGAATCAATCAATCAATCAATCAATCAGATAAAATATCCGCTTTGATTGTTGATATTCTCCCTATCAAAGATAGTTGTAGATTCTTCCATTTTTCTAAGTCTGTCGCAATCTGTTGTTTTAGTCTATAGTAATTATCCTCTTTAAGGGTTGCACAGCTTGCTGTCAATTTTATCCCCAAGAATTTCACTTTTTTGTGTGATCTGGAAAATTTAATCTGTCCATCCGTTCTTTTTTTTTCTCTCCTTTTTTTTGCTTTTCAGTTATATTCTTCCCTAAAATCTTGGGTTGTTTTTTTTTCTTTATTTATTTTCAGCCCTGCAATTTCCCCATATTCTTCTATCTTTTCTTTCAGCTTAGCTCCGGTATCTCATGGTTCTTCTAGTATAAAAAAAGCAGATCGTCTGCAAATGCCTGCAATTTGTATTCCTCGCTTTTTATCTTCGTACCCTTCTGTTTAATATTTTGTTTAATATAATGCTTCTGTTTAATATTTCCAAAGTCAGTACAAATAACAAGGGCGACAGGGGGCAATCAGAGTAGAGCTGGAAGGGACCTCACGAGGACTTCTAGTCCAACCCCCTGCTCAAGCAGGAGACCCTGGCCTATACCATTTCACACCAATACCTGTCCAGTCTCTTCTTAAAGACCTCCAGTGTTGGAGCGCCCCACAATTTCTGGTGGCAAGCAGTTCCACTGGTTCACTGTCTTCCCCGCCACCAAATTTCTCCTTAATTCTAAGTTGTTTCTCTCCTTGGTGAGTTTCCATCCGTTGCTTTTTAGAATAGAATTGTGCTGGAAGGGACCTTGGAGGTCTTCTAGTCTACCCCGCTGCTTAAGCAGGAGACCCTGTACCCTTTCAGACAAAAAACTATCCAGTTCTCTCCTTTAAAAACCTCCAGGGATGGAGGACCCAGAACTTCATGTGGCAAGCAGTTCCACTGATTAATTGTCCTCACTGTTAGGAAGTTTCTCCTTAATTCCAGGTTGCTTCTACTCCTTGATGAGTTTCCATCCGTTGTTTCTTATCCTGCCTTTAGGTGCTTTGGAGAATAAATTGATCCCCCTGTTTTTCTGTCCAATTCCAGGATCCGTCGTTTTAACTGCGTGCAAAATTTGTCTTTTTTTTCTCTCTTTCTCCTCCTCCTCTCTGGCAGTTTTGCTCAGCGTAAAATTTGGAAAAAGCTGGGAGAAAACGGGCTACAGGAAGTCCTTGACTTATAACCACCAC